CCTTCATACCAATACCATTCTGTCCAGCACTCCAAGGACCCCAGACTGTCATTCTCTGGGCATTTCTACCAAGAACCAGGGTCCAAATTCCACCACTCAGAACAGCTTTCTGACACCTATGGAAGTTCACGGTACCCAGCCCCAACAGCCTTTTCCTATAGTATGCCCATCCTGAGTCCTTCCACACCTTTGTGTCAGCCGCAGTGTCTACCCCAATCTCTTCGATGACTAGGATGCGAAGTCTGTGGTCTACCATTATGTGTGCTGACTCTGCGTCTTGGGGACCTTTCATGGGTGGATTTGAGGGGGTGCACGTGGCCCCTCTGACCCTTCCCACTTCCTCTGGAGGTTGGTGGGAGGGATGGTCTCTACGCAAGTATCATACACCAGCCAGAGTCACACGAAAACCTATCTCTGGTCCCCAGGAAACCAGAAGAGTGCACGCATGTGCACAAATATGGCTTAGACATGTCTTTGTGTTTCTGAGGATCATATCCACGGTTCTGAGACACTGGAGCCCCCTCTGCTCTCTGCCACTGATGTCTCTCCTTGCTGTTCCTCAAAGGCAGATACTGGCTAGATGAAGCCAAGGCGTGCATTTTATCACTGCGAGGCATGTCTCTGTGGGCAACTCCAACATGGAACCCTTGCATGGGGACCCAGGAACAAGGCTGAGTCCCAGCTGGGTTCCTCCAGCTGGATTTGCATTGCTCTCTTCCCTGTCATATCTGGCTGTGATTTGGAGCCAGCATCACTGGCTGGGAAGGAGCTCAGACTAGTTAGATGACGGGGGAAAGGCAAGCCAGGGCCATCCATGAGACTCACGTCTCATCTTCCTCCCTGCGGCTTCGTTTGACCATCCATCCCCAGGGATCTTAGCCCAGCACAGTGTGTTGGCTTTATGGTTCAGGATTAGCATTGAGCTCATCTTACATTCAGGCTCACCCCTGTTTTCCAGGGCATTACTCCTGACTCAGCTTGCTGCTGATGCCTCAGGAGAGGCCAGATGCAGGCTAAAGGAAGGCGGTTTTCTTCATTCTGTTCTAAGGCAGTGAGGTTCAGGGGAACTACCATCTCCTTCAGTGTCACTGGATCTGGGCTGGGCAGTTATTCCCGCAAAGATGACCTGATACGCTCCTGTTTGCTCCTCTCTGTACCTCACTTCTCTCTGCAGCATCCTTGCTGGACTGATCCCTCTGCACACAACCGGGATTACACTGTCCTGAGCAAATGTGGATTGCGGCAAGGACACACACCAAAGAGCTAGCTTACAGTGGGTACCCGGTGATGAATGGACACGATTTATCAGTCACAGGGAAAAGTAATCATCTTTTCTCCCAGAGAGAGACTTGTCTGAAGCAACATCCTTGTTCCAAGTGGTTCTGCCCAGTCCCTCCCTATTCCCTGTTCTACTGCGTCACAGAGATGACCACTTTGCCCAGTAGACCCTATGCATTCTTGGTTCTGAGGATTCCTATTGGGTCCTAATGTCTTGGCTTTGCCTTCCTGTTTTCCTACCCAAAGTTCCCCAAATCTGCCTACTTCTGCCCATCCGAGGCTTGTCTTTCCACATCTTTTCCCACTGATTAGTTGGTTCGACATTCTATAGCCAGGAAATGACTGGGCTGGATTGGAACTGAAGACTGAGCTCTTTCTACCATAACCCCACGTCTCACCAAGGGAGGTACTGTGTCATAGTAAACTGCGCTTCCTGGTGGCACCCCCTCCAGGGCCCTGCGTGTTGTAACAACCCAGTGAGTCTGTGGGGCTGAAGCACAGTGTGGAGGCTCTCAGCCCCTCGTGTGAAGTGTGTCCTCAGATTGGGCCAGGTTAGCAATCATGTGACTCCACGTGGGCAGAGGGCACCACCTTCTAGAGGCCCCAGGATTCAGGAGTCTGCTGAGAAAGACAATGTCATCTTCTCCTTTCCCTTTAGGGTTTTATGGGCTCAGCCTTCACCATTCCAGATGGGCATGTCTGTGTAATTATAGTAGATGTCAAAGGTTTCTTTTTTCCAGTATGCAACTGAAGGAGACTTGACATCAGCCCATGAACAGTGAGGTCAGGGATTCCCCACACTGGGGGCGGGTGGTGAGCCAGTGGGTAGGTGAGCTGGACTTGAGCTTGAGTCTGGCATCGGCTTTAGGAGGAAGTGGCATGGCCAGGCACTGTGCCTCTCAGACTGGGCGGTCATTCCCTAGGGTCATCATAGTGGGCTGAGGGGGGCAAAGCCACATGAGGGATCAGGCACATGTGGTTAAAAAAATATTGATACACTCTTGTTAAAGCAGGCTAAATTAGCAAAGAATGCAAATGCTCTGTGAATTGTTAATTAAACATGAAACTGAAGGAGTTTTGAGCTTATTGTTGTCTGCTTTGGGTTTTGTGAGATCCACTGGGCCTGCTTCACTCTAGTCTCGGCTCTTAAGGGTCCCTCCCAGCCCAACCCCCTGCACCCCGTCGTGGGAAAATCTGAGACACATCAGTGGAAAGAGCGTATCTTTGAAGTTAAAAGAACCAATTTAAACCCTGGCTCCCTCCTTTACTAGCTGTGGTGGAATGGGGGGAGGGGCGGCGACGGTTAAGTGATTTCTCCCCTCAGTCTCCTCATCTGTAAATGGGGACAGTTGAAAGCACATCTTAGGGGTGTTGGGAGAACTGGGTGAGCTCACATTAGTCTTCAGCAGAGGGTCTGCTGGCTGCACAGGTTGGGTGATACCCCAGCAGGCAGGCCGCTACTTGGGCTACATCCAAAGAGAAAATGGAAAAGCGAGGTGATGCCTTCCATTCTGAAAAAGGGAGGCACGCTCTGACTGTCTGGAGGCTCAGAGCCCCTGACCCCAGGACCTTCACACCAGAAAGGAGAGGGCAATGAGTTAGGTTACAGCTAGGATACATCTTGAAGATGTATAGGCCAGACATGCACGCAGGTGGGACAGTTCCTGGCTTCTGGTTAATTCCATCTTCTCCAAACAGGGTCCACATCCAGGAGGTGAGAACCATGACGCTTTGTGCTTTTCACAAGTTTCCTTCTCCCTGAAGTCACATTCTAAATTTCTACCATTTGAAATGATAGAAGCCACTGTCATTTCATCTGCCTGCAATTTCACCCCCTCCTGAGCAGAATAAATCCTAGGGTTTATTTGTATTGGAGACCACCCCCCTCCCCTGGCTCCTGTTTTGCACAGATGAGCCCCAGATCTGAGGGAGAAGTATAGAGCAGGCTGATTTCCTGTGCTGCAGGCTTCCTGAAGGCTGGGGAGGGCTGGCTGGAGCAGCAGGCTGGAGCCGGGGAGGCTGGCAGGCCCAGTGGGGTGGGGGCCTGGGACCAGGGGAAGAGCCATGAAAGGCGAAGAGCAGGCTCGTGGCGGGGCGGCTTTGCCTTCCTTTGCTTTGAGTTGCTTCCTTTTGAACCTCCAAAGTGCCAATCCTCCCCTGATCGAGTCTGGGGTCCCTGGGCTTCGAGACCATCCCAGAACCTGTGCTGACAGGAGCAGCTTCTGTGAGCTCCTGCCGTGTCCCTTCCTCAGGGGCCCAGGGGTCTGGCTTGGTGCCCCCTGCTCTGTGACATAGCAGAGATCCTGACTTCCTCACAGAAGCTGCGTCTCTTAAGGTACTGTGTATTTTGTTCCAGCAACAAATAATGAGCAGACAGACAAATAGATGTGATATTAAGAAGTGTACGCTTAAGGGAATGTGTTCACAGTGTCTGATGAAGAGAGGCAGCCCCACTGGCCCCGGAGGGGGCCTCCTCAACCCCGAGCTGAGCGCGTCCCTCAGAGCTCCCCGGGCCCCGTGCTGCCCACAGGGGCCAAGTCCGCCCTGCTGGTGGGGCTCGCCGCCCCCGCCACCCTGGCTTGTCCCCTGCCCCAGCGCCCCAGGCTCTGCTCCAGCTGGGCTCACCTCCCGCCGTCTCGCCCACCCCGAGGATTCTGCACACCCATGTCTGTGCATGTGTGCTCTTGGCCTGAATTTCCTTCTCTTCATTTTTCTACCTGGTGGAAGGGATGTCACCTCCTCTAGAAAGCCCTGCGATGAGGCTCGAGTAACACCTGATGCGGCACTGAGATTCTGTTTCCCCAGGATACAGCAAGCTCTGAGGGAAACCTGTGCTCCTCACGCCCCGTCTGGGGCCGGACCGGCTTCCAGGATGGCACATCCTGGATCCCAGGCCACCCTGGGCTGCCAGGTGCCGTACCAGAGCACCAGCTGGAGGCCCAGGTAGACAGAAAGCGTCCCTGGCTCGTAGACCTCACGGCCTGAGGGCCCAGGCAGTGGTTTTCACTGGCCAAGATTTAAGATGGGACTAGCTCTCCTGGGGAGCGGGGAATGAGTTACTAAAATACATCTGAAACTCTGACCTTCCCAGAAACATGGGCATCAGAAAAAAAGAACTAGATTGCCATTTGTGGAGTTCTCTGCTCAGAAGTTTCTGGCCTTATTTTCCCTCCATAAAATAATTGCTTGGCTACGAAAGGATGAAGAAAACAGTACAAGTAAGTCTCTACCATCTGCCTTTGGAAACCTGAGGAAGATGCCTCAGTGTCTTCAGCTGTAAAATCAGGGTGATCACAGGTGACTAGCTCCCAGGGTAGGGTGGGGGGTGAGGGGGGTGGGTTCCAAGAATGTGCCAAGTCTAGCATATAGTAGATGCTTAGTCAAAGTCAAAATTGACTGACCCACACTTTGGGCAAGACCCCCAGGCCTGATCCCCTAAGGTCTGTTTTAAACCGGAGTATCACTGGGTCCACAGTGCCCTTTTCTGAGATGGTAGCTGCGTTGCTCTAGGCAGGCATTCAAATTCGGAGCTCTGGGGTATGCTCCTTCTCTGCCAGCCCCAAACGAAATTCCCCTTGCTCTGTGGCTGTGCTGACCCTGGGCGGGGGGGGAACCTTCTGAGGACCTTGCCAGGGAGTTAACAGGCCCAGGAGATTGGTCTCACAGCTACACAACCGAACTTCCCTCCCCACCAGTTTTTGACATCAGAGACTAAGACTTTACACCCTCCAAAAGAAAGTTTCTTTTCATATACACTTTGGAAAATCATCGAATCTTGTTCATCCCTCCCCGAGGAGTCACCGCCCAGGACACATAGGGCCAGCAGGAGCCCTGCCCTGGGGAGGCGGTCCTTCTTCAGAGAGAGAGGAGGGCAGCCAGGCTCCCTGCAGTCCCACCCTGCCCCGCCGAGCACAGACAAGCAGAGAGAACCTGGATCCAGGAGAGCCACGGACCCCCGGGGCTGGCCAGTGAGTGGCGGAAGGTCAAGGCCCCGGGCTGGGGGAGGGGTACAGAATGGTGCTGGGCCAAGCCCCATGCAGGTGAGGCGGGAGGGTGGGGGCCTCTGCTGTGGACTCGGGAGCATCCCGAGGTCCCAGTGATCCAGACCAGCGAGTGTCCGATGCCAGGGGTCCCTGGAGGAGACGGTGAGGGGGGCAGCAGAGCGGTGACCCCAGGAGCCCAGTCGCATCCATCTACACAGCCGGCTTGCCGCGAGAGTCACAGACGTGAAGAGCGCAAAAGCAAGAGGTCTGGGCACTGAGAAATCCGGGCCGTGCTCCGGGCGCCCTTCTGCATGGGCGCGTGGCTGGTGGGGTATGCAAAAGACGCCGGGGCCGGTCAGGGTAACAGCCTCCATGGTACCCGGAGACCCCGGGCAGGTGCAGGGCCCGCCGTGGACCGCAGGACCTCCAGTCTCCTCCTTGGAGTCGGGCAGGGTGCTGCCCCGAGCCCAGTCGCTGCCGTTCACAGAAAGGGGGCTTGGCCACAGCAGCCTCTGGACTCTGGCAGGTTCCCCAGGCCGTCGGGCTAGAAGGAGCTTAAATATTCCAGCGCCACCTCATATACAAATTTATACTGGTCCTGAGAGGAGGAGAGGCAGAGAAGGAGAAGAGATGATGAGCAAGAGATGGAAAGTGCATTTAGTTCAGAGTGTGGAGAGAATGTTATCTATGTCTGTACTAACAGTCGAGTCAAAATGTCCACCCAGATTCGGATTCAGTGACTGGAGTAGGGCTCGAGGGTCTTCATTTCTGCCAAGCTCCCATGGGATGCTGCTGCTGGTCTGTGGCCCGGCCTTGGAGCAGGCCCTCACTTTTGGTAAGACCACACTTGGCATAGATTTAAAGACTCATGTTAAAGTTTTCAGTGTTTGGCATGTCTCTATCTCTGCACCAGGTCTTAACCTTTGGAACTTTGCCACCAAGTTTCTTCCTGTCCTTTTCTTTACAATATCCTAGTTCAATGCTTTATACGGTAATCATTAGCATAAGTTAATGAGAATCGGTTTAAGTAAAGTGTTAGTTGCTCAGTGGTGTCTGACTCTTTGCGACCCCATGGACTGCAGCCCGCCAGGCTCCTCTGTGGGATTTCCTAGGGAAGAGTACTGGAGTGGGCTGCCATTTCCTCCTTCAGGGGATCTTCCCAACCCAGGGATCGAACCCACATCAAACCCACTCTAGGCAGATTATTTTTACCATCTGAGCCACCAGGGAAGTCCAAGATTGGACTGAATCAAAAGCACATCACAGAAAAGCTCAAACATCTAGGCAATATCTTATGGGAAAAGCTGAATGGTTGTTCTGGTAAACTCAATAATTCACATTCTACTAACCCAGCATCCCGTCCCCTAAACCAGAGTGAGTGACACTTCCCTCTGGAGTGGAAAGAAAGTAACACAGAGCAGCGTGTGCCAAGAGGACTATCTGGACTGCTCTGCAGAAGACAGGCTGGTGAGGCTGGAGGGGAGGGAAGCCCGTGACGTGAGGGCGGAGGGCGGGACTGCAGGTGCTCAGCGATGCTCTTTTGTTCGGGTCCAGGCAACCACCGGCAGCCCCTGGCTCTCGGCCACTCACCAGGGTCTCCACCATGTTGGCCTTGTTGTTCCGTAACGTCTTCACGATGTGGAACACGTCGATGATGTTCTGCTGCTGGATCATCTCACACACGCTGCAGATGGCGCAGAAGGTTCCGCTGCGGCCTCCCCCATTCCTAAACACAGAGGACGGAGGTGAGTGGACTCCTGGGTAACCCTCAGGCACCTGCTGAGCCCAAGGCCATGTCTGCAGCAGTGCTGGGGGAGGGGGTGGGGGTGGCTTCCCGCCCTGGCAAATGCAAGGGAAGGTGGTGGTAGAAAGCCCGAGCCATGGTTGAGTCCCATCTGTGCCATGAACCTGCTGTGACCTTGGGCACGTCACTTCCTGTGTCTGAGCCCCAGGTTCTTCATTCGTATCATAAAGGGGACGACCTTGGAGAGTTCACTTAGCTTGATGTTTCCTTGGTCCTAGGAGCATGTGACCATCACCCATGGCACACGGACCCTAACCCCCAAGGCAGACAGATAAGAGTATCTCTGGACGTGTGGTGCCTGCTTCCTTGTCCTAAAGGATGCTCTGGGTCCACCCGCACATCCAGTGAAGACAGTGGAGGCTGCGTGTGCTTTTGCTTCTAGTTCTTCCCATCCACTGAGGATCACGCTACCAGACACAGCTCTGCGAGCCTCGGGTCAACCAGACTGGGTTTTGGGCGGGGTTGGGATGGGCGCGAGATGCTGGATCCAGAGAGAAATGCCGCATCTCTGTTTTCTTGATCAGAACATCTCGCGTAACCCGGGATGTATAAATAGAGATACAGGGCTCTTGGCAGGGTCATCCCTCCATCGCACTTTCTCTCTGAGGCCCCGTAAGTCGTCTTCACGGACACACCCCCTCCCAGCTCTTTACAGAAAGTCTCTTTAGGAATCTACCAAGGTTGGAACTCCTGGGCGTGTTGCCAAGAGCAACTCATGATTTCACGTAATGGTCTGTGTCTAAAGAACATCTGGATGGAAATGAAGTCTCTCAGTCAACCTCCCAGATGTTCCATCCACAGGACACTCAACGGCCAGATGTTTCAGGTGCAGTCACCCAGCCTCCCTTCGCCAGCACCTGTACTTCGGTGTTTGTTTCGGCGTCTCTGCCCTCCAAGGATGATGCCAAGGTCCCTGTGGATGGGAGGACACCCCTGTGCCTTCCTACAGCTCAAACTGCTGGTCACCTTGGCGAGGGAAGACACGAATAAAAAGGTACTCCTGCAAAAAAGCAGGCTAAGAAACAATCCCATGGGCAAGAGTGGGCAGGGGCCTCCCCCGCCTCACACCTCTCTCTTAAGCGCTCCAGTCTTCCTGATACGTGTGCACTGCCTGTTTGAAAGAGTTCCTGGGTTTGAAACAACTGAACTCAATCCTGGGGTAAGGTGTTATTAATGACTCCACCTGCTCCAGAAATACCTCTGCAACGGGGAAGATCTTGATTCAATTTCCTTTTTAAAGAATGAGGCCCTCGTATCACTTCTCCCCAAACCATTTTGAATTCTAAGAAGCAAAGGTAATGCTTGTGACTAGGATGTCCCACAGATAGCGTTATGGCTGCACCCCCAGTCCACGAAAGGATTGTAATGCCTTGAGTACATTCCCATTGGCCTGCAAGGATGTGGAAAGGCCCAGGATGCTGAGGATAGTATTTGTGGCCAGCGGCATCCTCAAGGACGCCCCAGAGACCCCTCCCCATCATACTCACAGGCAGTGGACCACAGTGCGTCCCTCCCGCCCGTCGTACTGCTCCTGCCACTTCTCCAGCCGCCGGACCACCTTGAGCAGAGAGCGCTTGGAGGGGGGTGTGTCCCGGTAGGCAGGCCAGCCGATGTACTGGAGGTGCTGGACTATACGGTACCCGTCCTGGGGCTGAGAACAGAGAGGCTGTCAGGGGTGGTCTGCTGGGGGTGCAGCACTGCCGTGGCAGATGGAATAGAAGGGGTGTAAGCTGTAATGTCCTCGTGGTGAGAGTCACACGCCATCCCCACGCCTGCCCCTGTGCGCTGATTCTCCTGCTAAGACGGCCCTGCATCCTTTCTCTACCTGAAAGACTTCTATGCAGTCTTCAAAACCCAATCCCAGAGTCCCTTTTTCTAGGAAAGCGTCCCTGAATAGTGGGCAGGGCTCCTCTCTCCTTGCTGTTCATGTGCCAAAACACAGTTTGCTTTCCCGTGAGTGAATTCTGAGGGCAGGGACTGAATTCTCTTCAACCTGAGCCCCCAGTAAAGACCACGGTCACTTTAGTCAGTCACCATTTAGTTAGCCCCTCATCTTCCCTCCTGCCCAATAACTCCTTCACCCAGCAGTGAAATTCCTCATGAAAGAAACTTGTTTCCCAACTTACTTCCCAGCTAGCCCAAAGCTTACTGGATCCACTCAAAGGCTGCATCAACTCATGCCCACACCGTGCAACACGGCAGGGAAGCACTGTGCTCTGAGAAGTTTCGTCTACGCGGCAGCCAGCGTCTCAGGACAGGCAGATGGCCGGTCAGATGCACGGCCGCGCGGCTCTGTGTGTGGGAACCACTGCTGGGTCTGGAGCCAGAACTGGCAGAGGCATCGCTTCCCCGAGGACAGGCGGATCAGGAGTGCACAGCACCGACTGGCTGGATCCTCCCCAGCAGCATCCATCTATTTCAGAAGGAGGCGCCCCGGACGCAGCAGCGGCTGGACACTCACCCGTGCCATGTTACAGATGCGGAATATCCTGTGGATGATGTCCTCATCAATGTCTGCCGAGACGAACTCCACCTGGATGGGCCCATAGCACCCCGACGTCTTCTCAGGCCAGTACTGCATGCAGAGCTGAGGCAAGAAGAGGGCTCATAGAAAGAGGCCAAGGACAGGGACTGGGGCAGGGTGTTGGTTTAACTTTTCCCCGGGCCCGTGGGACATCTTGGCTAGAAAGGTATGGTACTATGTAGGAAATCAGGTCCAGCTTTCCACTGGGCAACAGCCACCATTTTATTTTTTTTGGGGGGGGGGAGGTTTGAAAAGTCAGAGCTCTGAACACACAAACACTGGGCTTAAACATCTTTGCTGTGCTGATTTCAAACCATCTGTTAGGCTTGCTGGGCCTCAGTTTTCCCCATCTGTAAAATGGGGAGAATACAGGCTACCTTGACACACTGCCGTCAGGATTAGATAGAACACTGAGGGAAGGGCAGCTACAACTTCTCCCCATTCTAGGAAAACCTTCATAGCATTCATTTCATCATGAGATCATGAGTATATTTAAATATATATGTAGGTTTTGACATCAGACAGGCTTGGGTCCAAGTCCAGTCTCTGCTACTTACTAGCTGTGTAACACAGATTTCTTGTAAATTGGGGCTAATTATGCTTACCTTGCATCAAGACCTAATGTAACATGGCACTGTGGTATTGAGAGATCTCGGCTGCTATTTTTCCTTTTGGGGGGAATTGGAAATTAGAACCTGCAGCAGGGAGCAAAAAGCAGAAGCAAATGATGCTTCTCAGCAGAGGTTGCTTTGTCACCCAGGGGACATTTTTGATGGTCAAAAATGTCCATCTAGTGAGTAGATGGATGCCACTAAATACCCTCCAGTGTCTGTGACGGCATTCTGCAGAGGAATCTGGCCCTGAGTCTCATAGTGCAGAGCCTGAGAGAGTCTGGTCTAAGATCCTAAACTGTCTCTTCAGTTTGTAGTGTCATCAAGAGTAAGAGACAGACATTTGATGCCCCTGTCTCTGTTGACTCACTGGATGACTTTAGTTCAGGAAAGAATGTTAAGGTTGGTGGCAGGGGATGTGGCTCAGAGAAGGGCAAAGCCTGATCCCTCAACTCCTGGTTCCCAAGGGGCAAGATGCCCACAGCAACTCCCAAGTGTGGCCAGAGACGGGCGCTGTCCCGGACACAGAGGAGAGCTAAGGCTGGGCTGCAGGCTCGCGGGGATCACCCCAGCATGGACGAAGAGGCCATGTGTTAGAAAGACTTTTCCTCTGGGCGCTGCCCAGAAGGCGTAGCTGAGACTCAGAGACCCATCAGAGGTCTGGAGAGGCAGGAGCCGCAGTGGGGCCTGCCACGGCCTCGGCTGAGCTTGCAGACGAGGTGCTAAATGGGCAGAGGGGACCCACAGCAACCCAGCAATATGGTGGCCTCCTCACAGCCACCATGCAGGCAGGCATTTCATGAAAGTGATCAGTTTTTCTTTTGCTGACAGCCAACTCACCCGCAACATCCTATGCGAAACCTTGTTTGATTCTATCCTTCCTCCAGAACTAGAGCCAGAATGGATGAGTTGGGGGGGGGGTAGAGAGGGGAAGAACATGTCTCCCAGCTGTGAAGCCCAGATACCCTTGGTGGTTCACACACACCATGGCCTGCTAGCCAAACCTGGCCAGCTCTCTGAGTCTGCAAAGGAAGTTTAGGTATATTCGCCATTTACATATTTTCTATGGTTTCTTTCAAGCTATAATCATAGATTTGAGTAGCAGTGATAGAGACCACAGAGTCTGCAAAACCTAAAGTATTTCCTATCTGTTTCTTTCTGCAGAGAACGTTGGCAACCCTTGTCCTGCAACCCTTTTCCTAGAGGGTTGTTTTCAGGATAAAGAGAAAACATGTGGGAACCTTAGCAGGGTTCCAGCACCCACTACATTCCAGTGATTCGTATCATTCTCGAACCTTGCACTGTTCAACAACAATAACAATAATGATCATAGCTCATGTACAAATTTGAAGTCATCTTCCTCTTATCACCCCTCTTAAATAGCAAAGGTAAGCAAGATTGTTTCATGATGCAGTAGTGCCTGGCTTTCCTGGCATCTCCACTGGCTGCTAATTGAGAATGTTGAGAAAGGGTGGGTGTGTGTAGGTGCAAAGTGCTGGTCGCAGCGGCCTTTGTGGCCGGACAGTCATCTGCTGAGCTGCGCAGTAATGACAAATCCACAACTTGAACTTCATTTCTTTTTGCCACTGGCTCTTCTGCCCTGCAACCTTCACAGTAATGAGGGACCAGTATAGATAAGTCTGTGGCTGGCCGGAGAAATCAGAATTAATCAGAACTGCCAATTTAAAAAAAAATAATTGCCTTTATTACCTGCTTTGAATTGTGCCTTGCCAGAGGTTGGCTGTGATCCTGACATGAGCTCCATGGGTCTGAAGTGTCAAAGAAAGTCTATTATCTGCAATATTTTCAGTCTGGAGAGAATGTGGGATGATTTGTCTCTTTTAATAAGATTTCCAGACCAATTTCTCAAACTAATAGATTCCACTCTGCCTCAAACAAGACTCCTATATTTTGGGACACATCTCTGCATTTGATTTTCCAGGTCACTCTCCTTCTTGCCCAGAGGCCTGGGGAAGGTTGCAGGGTCCTTCTGATGCTGCATCGGAGCTTGCCTTTCACTCGAGTTCCCTAATCTGTGAGTCCACATTAGCAGTGACTGGGTGATACTCAGCTGGGTGATAGGTGGGCAGATGTGGTGTCTAAGTTGTCAGAGAGCATCAGAGTCCCCCCCACCCCCCTGCAACTGGTGATGTTGCACCTAATCTAGTCGTGGGAGATGGGAACGGGGGAAGCCAGTGCGCTGTTCCCAGTGGCCTTCTGGGGGCTGGGAAATGATTCTCATCAATAAGAAATGGCCTCTAAGGTTCAGCTCAAGACCGTCCTGTGTCCAAGTGCTGGGGTTGTGTCTCAGTGGGTACCACCAGTTTGGCCTGTGAATGCAGCTAGCAGGAGGTTAATGGGGCTCCTGCTTGAGCTCCCTGGGTTCAAGTCCCAGCCCTGTCACTTTCTAGCTGAGTGACTTGGCCAAAGCTTTAGCTTCTCCGGGTTAGGTGATGAATGGCTGTGAACCTGAATGTGCCTACTTAGCACAAGAATCTGTAACTGGGAGCTATATTATTAGGTGGTGTGGGAGAGGGTCACTCAAAACAAGACGGATTGGGTAAAGGGTCTTTTCCTTTCCACTTAGCAGCCTGTATGACAATTTCTCTTTAGGATAATACTCAAAGTACTGCCCCTGTGAAAATTCCTGACCAGTCAGCCTGATGGAGCAGTGGGGACAGATGGCATCTGGGATATGTGGACACTGTTCTGCATGTCAAAGGAGAGAGGCCTGTGGGTTGTTCTGGAGGGGGACCCAGAGAGGCAAGAGGAAAATTAGCATAAGGGAACCAGTGAAAGGGCTGAAGGTGAATCAGGGTGGCATCTGACTGCCCCCACTCCTAAACATTAAGCAAATTTATAACAACATGGACAATGCTCAGTGTGTATGGCTTTCTGAGCTTTGCTCCCTTGGTGACTTAAAAGTGGAGCTGAGATCAGACCATGAGCACGTAAGCATCAACAGTTTATAGGACAGTGACTCAGATGGTGGAGTAGAAAGACCCTGAACTCTCCTGAGCACACCAAAATCACAACTATCTGCAGAACCACCACCAGTGAAAAGGACTGGAACCTACCAGAAAGATCTTCTACAAGTAAAGACACAGGGAAGGACTCACAATGGAAAGAGGCAGAATGGGTGAACTTGGGATACAATCAAATCCCATACCCACAAACTGGAGAATAACTATACTGTAGAGGTTCTCTCACTGGAGTGAGAGTTCTGAGCCTCATGTTGGACTCCCCAGCCTGAGGGTCTGGGAAGACAATCCCCACAGCATTTGTCTTTGAAGGCCAATGGGGCTGATTCTGGGAGCCTCACGGGACTAGCGACCTCACTCTTACAGGGTACACACATAATCTCACAATGCAGTGGGTCACAAGGCCAAAGCAGGAGTTTGATAGAAGCCTGGGCCAGACCTACCTTGCTGGTCTTGGAGACTCCTTGGAGTGGTGGGGAAGCTGTGGCTCACTCTGGGGACACAGACACTGGTGGTAGCCTTACTGGGGCACATTCTGCTCCGTGGACACTGCTGCTGCCGTCCTGGCTCATCAACCCCACTCAAAAGCCTGTAGATGCTAGTGCGCCTCAGGCCAAACAACTGAACAGGTGAGGACACAGACCCACCCCTCAGCAGACAGGCTGCCTAAAATCTTACTGAACCAACTCCACCCACCAGAGGGCAGGCACCATCCCTTTTTCTGCAAGAAGTCCAAATTAGCTTCTAGACCAGCCTCACCCATGAGGGGACAAACACCAGACACAAGAAAGCTATGATCCCACAGCCTGCGGGCCCTGGTCCTACCCACTAGCAGGCTTTGGGATACCCAGAACACCATACCCAACTGTGTCAGGAACTGTGCCCTCCCACCCCCGACTTGAAAGAAGCTTGGGCACCCCTGGGTTCTGCAGCCAGGAACTGGCTCTGCCTGCCAACGGGTAGGTAACAGCCTGAGAATTCTCAAGACCCTGACTCCAGCCGCCAGTGAGCCAGCGCTAGCCCAGAAGACCCCCTAGGGTCTGTCGCCTCATGACTAAATAGGCTAACTAGCAGCTAGTGAGGACAGTTTAAGAGGCCTCTGGGACAACACTGAGTGCACGAATAGTCACATTATGGGGATCCCAGAAGGAGAAAAGAGAGGGCATGAGAAAATATTTGAAGATACAATAGCTAAAAACTTCCCTAACCTTGGCAAGGAAACAATTACCCACGTCTAGGTAGAGGAGAGTCCCATGCAGCACTAACCCGAAGAGGAACAAACACATCAAGACACATTGTAATTAAAATGACAAAAAGAGAATATTAAAAGCCTCAAGGGAAAAACAATAACAGAAAGGAAATTCCTATGAGGCTGTCAGCTGACTTTCCTGTAGAAACTCTGCTGGCCACAAGGGAGTGGCATGATATATTTAAAGCGATAAAGGGAAAAACCTGCAGCCAAGAATACTTT